AATCTGTAATTCTTTAGGTGCTTTGGTGATATTAGCTAGGTTAGGCTGAAATGCTAATTTGAGTGTGATGCCATGATTCTCAAAGTCAGTGAACCTTTCATTGTATTCTCCAATTAATAGGTCTATAACAGCTGGATATTCTTCAAATGATTTCATATATCATCCTGCTCATCAATGACCTTTATTAACTGGGGAAAATGTTCATCTGAAATTTCCTTTTGAAGATATGTTTTGAAAACACATAGCGTTTTTTTGAAATGCTTCAATTTTTTGTCACATATTATATATAGACTTAGTTTTACCTTGCAAAGAAATATTCAAGTCGTTTTGGTTTGACATGGTATCACACAGAAATGCTACATTCCTATAGAAATCTACTTTCAATAATTCACATTGCTGATTCTGCTCTTCATAAAATGTAACTATTTGTTCCTGCAGAGATAAAATTTTGGCTAACACCTGTCCCTGCAATAATCGACACACTTTAGAATGATACAGCAAATCCACACTAAGTACCTCTTCCTTCAACTTAAGCATGTTACAAAACTGATGATGTAGTGTTGCATTTGCATGAATATAGTTAACAATACTTACAACCTTGTTGCAAAGTGTCGCTTAAAAGAGTAGCTTTAGCAGAGATTTTGCTGATGCAAGATACAATGAAAGGAAATGAGAGCATCTTGATCTGTTAATACTTTTCTTTTTAAATCTGTGCAATAAATCCTTCATCTTTTCCTGTCATGGAAGTTGTATAGCTGTCATGGAAGGTGCACTAACTGTACATACACTCACTAAATTTACCAAATTCTGTCCAACTTCCCATTTATCTTGAAAGTTGTTGAAGATATCTTATTCCCCGTGTTCTATGTGCAAGAGTGCCCAAAGCAAGTAACTCTCCGTGGCAAAGAAAATCTTCTGTTATGATCCGAATGGAGTATAAACCCTGCACCGAGTCAGTAGTATCATTTAATTCATCCAAAGCGATTGAGTAATATACATAACATAATATATATAATACTTCCTTTTGAAGTATTGCATGAAATTGTTCTGTTAAGTTGAAGGCTAATTCATGCTGCTGATCAGTTATAGTTCTCCTTGAAAAAGGCAGTTTGTGCTTTGAAATGTTATCAGGTTCTAAGCACCCTACAACTTCGACAATGCATGGTCTTTCTGTGCTTGGCTTAATACTCTGACTCCCAGGTTTCCAAAATTAAGATAAAATATATGGGAACTCACAATAACAAATTACCAAATATGTAAAAAGACAAACTGCCATGACTATCAACAAAACAGGTTTAGATCCCCAAGGACTTCAGGTTTTGAAATGATTAATAGACTATAAAATAATAATAAAAAAAAATAAAAATGGAAGCACAAAAAATAAGCATGTAATACAAAGTTGCCAAAACACAAAGATAAATGCTTGAGGTGATGGATATCCCAGTTACCCTGATTTAATCTCTTGCATTGTATGCTTATATCAAAATATCATATATATACCATTAATATGTACAATTATGTATCCATAATTAAAAATTTTAAAAAATTAAAAATAAAAATGACCAAGCAGAGTTGGAAGGAAGAAAAACACATAAAACTTTTAAAAGAAAAAATATTGCTGCAATTTAGAGCTTAATTGATGGCTTAAACATCAGATAGATCAGAGAGAAGTATGAAGGCTATACCAATACTGTGTAGGATTATAGGTGATGTTGATAAGACAAAATACCCCAAACAGTGATTTGGATAAAAGAGTAGTGTGTTTCTCTCCCATGTAACAGGACAAGCTAGGAAGCTAGGCATTGTTCTGTCATTCTGAACATGTGACTTCATCTTTGGGTCTACTGCAATTGTTCCAGTTCGATTGTTCCAGTCTTCCTCAGCCATATCATTCAAAGTAGCTCACTAGCACCACATTTGACTTTCTAGCCCATTAAAAGGGAAAAGCAGAGCATTAAGGGAAAATTTCATATTTTTCAGGTGTGAATTGTAAGTTGCACATATCACTTCTGCTTATATACCAGTAGCCAAAACCTAACATTACGGCCATATCTAACTACAGGAAAAATTAAGAAATTTACTCTAGATGAGTGGCCACTCCCAGGTAAAACCTGGGGGTACGATATTATTACTAAAATGAAAATGGTGATATGGATCCCGGGAGATAGCCACAGTTCCCACAGCAGCATAGAATGAGATATATGGAGATAGAAACTAGGAAAGAGAAGTTACATGATATAAGAGAATGAGAAGATATAATTAATGTAGGCCTGATCAGAGTCACAGGAATGAGTAGAAAAACACTGGGGAAAAAATGGCTGGAAATTTTCCAGAACAGAGGAAAACACAAATGCACAGATATGAAACACAACAAAGATATTTGTAGATAAAATCTGAAAAAGTTTACAACCAAGAGACTTTCTCCAAGGAAATATCTTTAAAAAAAAAAAAAAAAAGAACAATATGTAAATTGACTCCAGCAGAAATATCTGAGGTGTAAACATGGGAAATTAACTGGTTAAACATGTAAGTGAATAAAAATGCACTTGTGTACATATTAATTACAGTGTTCTAATTTGTTGGATTTTTTTTTCTTCAAAGAACAAAACTAAAAAACTGGATAACAACTTGTGAGTCTGGAGATGAGAGATCAGAGTTAAAGTTTCCTAAGGTCCACTGTATTGTTAGGAAAGGGGACTAAGATATTGACTAATTTTAAGTTAAATATGATAAAAGTTTTGAGTATAAAACTTAGGCATAGAATATAACATCCCAACTGGTAGAAGGGGAAATGGAAGAAAACAAATATTTAGTCAATCGAAAATAGCTGAGAGAGAAATGAAACAGAGAAATCAAGACAAATAGAAAGCACAAAGCAGGATAGCAGAAAGAAGTCCAATCATAGTATTAATAATGACAATAGAAAAAAATGGACTTTAAAGCAGAAAGGCAATTCACTACAAATAATAGGTTCAATTCATTAAGATTATATAATTCTGTATTTCTTTGCATGTTATAAAATTGCTCAAAACACATAAAACAGTAATTGATAAAATTTCCTGAACCAAGGTCATAGAGAGAAATTTCAATATTGTTCTCTCATTTGATGGGAGGAAAAAAACCCACAAAATAAGCATTTCTAGATTTTATCAAATATTTTGTTATTTATAGTGTTTCACTTTTTTCTCTCCAATCCTATGTATAGATTCCTAGAGGGACAATAAGATTAGTATATTGAATATCTTTTCAAGTACTTAATATTGTTCAAAAAGAGAAAGTATACAAGGTAAGATTCTAATGCTCGTTTCATTCATTCAAACATTAGGGGGACCTACCACATGCCAGACACTGTGCCAGGCTCTTGGAAACAAAATAAATAATAGCAGATATGGCTTCTCGTCTACTCTCATGTTGCTTTTGCATGTGCCCTTGGGCATTTTACTTAATCTCTTTTTAGCTTATATTCATATGTATAAGAATACATCACTGGTGTGAAGATAAGGTTATGTATGTAATAAACACATCATGGACCCTAAAATATGGGCTTAATAATTGGTAAGTATAAAAATGGATTTTAAAATGTTAAGCCTATTATCAATCTATATTATTTTAAAAATCATATTGTAGTTGCAGGTATAAGGAAATAAGTTCACAAATTGTTATTTTCTAAAACTAAAGCTAATATTATTATAACACTTGTTATGGTAGAACTCTTCATTGGATTGTTTCTTGAAAAAACACTTTCATGTAACTGACAGAAGCAATTGACTTTATTCTTGCATTAATAGCAAATGGCATCTAAAAGATGGTTTACATGGATTAAAGCTAGAAAAAGGAATCTGACCACAAGGGATAAGAGTTTGCTAGTGTTCACTCAAGATTATCTAGAAAAGTGTGTTTATTAGTAGAACATTATTTACCCCCAGGTTCTACTACAGAATGAAAAATTCTACAAGATTACACAACTTTTTGCTCTAATTCCATTCTGGAATTAGAGATTAACTTTTTGAATATCAAAAATATGTCTTCCAAAAAATCTTGCTATCAGCTAACCTGAATATGAACAAAAATATCTTTATTACTGGAAAGTTTTATTTCCCTAATACAAATGAATAAATCACTCTAAAGTTTGGTTATTGGGAATCACTCTACCAGTTGTGGAGCACCTGGGTAAGCTAACAAAGTTAGGTTATTACACACAAAACAAATACTCTAAACTGTCTCCATAGGGCAGCCACCAAGGGAAATATAAGCAAATTTAACTATTTTAGCCTAAATGTTTCATTTAACATGAGGCAAAGCTAGCACTAAGGTTGTGATTTATTAACCTAGTTAATGGCAGAAGCAACACTAAAACCTCGGTTTTCTAATTAAAAAGTTTGTTTTGATTCTTTTACCATCAAATGCTAAATTTATATCCAAAGGCATATAGTTGAATTTACCACACTTTAAACTTTTTGTCTGTGTATCAAAACTTTTAATCAACCTACTATGCAGTCTTTTACTTTCAAGGAGTAGGAATCTGCAGAAATGAGAGACAAACTTTCAGAATAACACAATTTTAATGAATGTTGAAGCTGATTAACTGGTACACTAGGTTAACAAGGCCAAAGTCCAGGGCTTACACTCCAAATAGGCCAGTTAGCTTTCCAAACCAACATTTCTGACATCACTATATGTTGTTGGTTAAAGGAAACCCTTCACTACTAGGTAGGCAGTGTGGGGAGGGGACTTATAAAAATCATACTGATAGAAAATGTCACTTTAAAGCTGCTTGTTCTTTGAAAAGGGCACGTTTTCATCATTCTTCGAAAGAGGCCTTCTGAAAAGCAACTAACGCTAATTCCATAGCTTTAAATATAATACTTCCAATATGTCACCTCCTCTATCCAGAAAATCCATGGCACTAGAAGTAATTACTTTTCATATTTATAATTCTATAAGAAATCATTCAAATTAGCACCTAAAATAATACTTTGGGCACATGAAGGCAAAGAAGATTTGGTAACAATACTGGAATTTGCATTCTGTAAACTATATATTCAAGCAATTAATAACAGAGCGTTGCTCATAGAGAACTGGGGTCAGGGCTGAGGCCTAAAACTTGTCTTTTCCTAAATGCAATATCACGCAACAGTTCGAAGAGCTAACAACAGGTCCGTCCAGATGCTAAGACCAGGGACTTCGAAATCTCCATCCTGCGCCTTACAGGACTTTAGGACTGTTACAACTTCATCTTTCAGAGGAGGAGGGGCCTGACAGAGGCTTTGAAACCTATCGTACAACTCCTCCCAGGTCACATCTTGGGACTCAGCTCCAACCCAAATGCCTTTCTGAAGGTCATAGTGCAGATGTCGACCCCAGTCTGTTAGCAGACCTAGATAGACACGAGAAAGCGCTCCGTGGCGGCTTGCCACCACAGCTAAAAGCCCAGCTGGGAGGTGACGGCAAAAGACAGCCATGACTTCCGACTTCCCCAGAAGCCAATGGACTAGCTCTTGATCCCCCTCTCCAGGTGTTTTGGGGCTGCCCAATTCCAACTCCTCTTCTTGGGGTCTGGGAGACATAGGCGGCTGCAACAGCGCCGCCGCTATCACCTTCAGGAAGTTGTTCTGAGGCCAGCGCTCCCACAAGCTGCTGAGAAACATGCTGGGACCCTCCGCTTCGGCCTTCCCCACCTCCTGCAGACGCTCCAGCAGCATCTCTGCCTGGGTCTTCAGCAGTGAGTCCTCCGGAAGATTCAGATTCTCTTTATATCCATAGAAGCGCAGCAGGTGGACCGCGGACCGGCGGCGGGCGAGGCAGGCCAGACGGTCTTGGAGCGGCTCCTCCTCGGCGTCCGGGACGCCCGGGCCCGGAAAGAGCTGCTGCAGCAGGTGGTGACGAGCTGCATCCCCGAGGTCTCGGTTCTCCAGCAAGCGCAGAGACAGCAGGATGTCACAGTGCCCGAGGGCCTGGAAATTCGTCAATCCCGGGACCGGACTGGACCCAAAGCCGCCCTCCTGCCTCCACTGGTTGTGCAGCCGCCGCTCCAGAGCCAGGCGGATGCGGCCATGGCGACCAAAGCGCCGGTAGATGTGGCGCAGGTAGCGAGACCACTGCAGGGCCCTACGCACGGTGGCAGGGTCCCAGGTGCTGACATGGGTAGTGCTCGAGACCGCTAGAACCTCGGAAAAACGCTCCAGGTGCTGTAGGAGCGGTTCCATGAGGCACGCAAAGTTCTTACTTCCGCTTTCACCTTGGAGACGGCGACTCTCTGTATGCTGATAGGGGTAGCCACGAAATGGTACGCCTCTCTGCAATGCTATTGGTCAAAGTGCACGTCAATCTCACAGCGGCCTCATCCGGGTTCCTTGATTCTGGGAAACTTAAACAACTTAAGCTAGAGAAAAGTCCCGACTGTTTTATTTTTGCTACGTATTGAGTAGGTTCTTAGCGGAGCGAGAATAGATGTAGGGAATCCTAGCGAGAATTCCCGGAGCCATATGCGAGATGCTGCCAGTTGTGAACGTTTCCACGCTTATTTTTGCTTTGGAAATACCCCTAAGTCAAAATTTTCTGAACTTTGCCTAAAAGGAGGGTCTGTGTTGAGGTTTATCATAACTAGGCAACACCAGAGACATGCTGTTACATGTGAGGAAATGTTATTAAATGAAATTTTGAGATCAATTTGGGAAAAATGCGCTGACCTATTAGTTAATGCCAGGCACTATGCTAAATTCTGGGCCTTCACATTGGCATTCAATTATTAGAAGTGAAGGACAGATTAATTGAAACCAAAAGTAAATTTAAAGATTACTACTTTATGAAAATTGCAAAAGAACTTAAAATCTTATTTCAAAATTCCACTATCTTTTTGTCTTCATAGTTTCCAAGGCAAAATAGCTTAGTTGACTCTTAATTCATGCAGTAATTATTTCACTAATAATCAACTGAAGGAAACAGCATTTAAGAGTATATAGCAATAACAATTGGGCTAAAGACTGTAGAAAGGGAGAGGAAGAAGCGCCCATTATCTTAAAAATCATCTAGATTATCCACTCATTGATACATTTAAAAAATATTTATCTGCCAACTTCCGGGAGTTGCCTTGTGTACAAATTCACAATTTTTAACTTACTAAAGTTGATGATGTAATAACTTATTTAAGCTGATTTCTTTCCAGTTCTAAAGACACTAGCCAAAACTATTCCTAGAAGTAGGCAAAAGATGTTTTGTTTTGTTTTGTTTTTTAACAAAAGGAAGAGAAATTTAGAAGCGGGGAGAGTCATTCTTTATTTATTAAAGTGAGCATTTCCATACCTTTTAGAAAATAAAGCATTGGTGCTCATGCTGTTAGTTCAGTTTTTTATTTGATAGTTATCAATTAGCCCAAACTCTTATTTGGTCCTGAAATAGTTATTTTATTTTGCTCAAGTATACCACGAATCTTAAAATTCTCTGTCTTGGCTACTAGAACTTAGAGCCAATTGAGCAACCTACCCTTAGCAAAAGTGCAGGCATCACTAATTTGTTCATTTATTCTTATATTGAACACTTATCATGTCACATAGCATAGGATGCTACAGATTTAGTGGTAAATAAAATAAATGCAGCCCTTGCCCTGGTGGAGAAGTTCATGTACCATTTAAGAGAGACATTAAACTAATAACCTCAAATGTGATAGAAGGATATAATGGAGTAGTGTCGTCAGGCCTTAGGTGATAGAGAAGGTCTCTTTAAGGAACTGAATTTTCAGCTGAAAGCTCAAAGATGAGTTTTGAGGAAAGCTTTCAAGGTCACAGAACAGATTATTTTATTTATTTATTTTTTTTCCCGCAAGTGCCTGAATGAGTTGAGAGAATCAGACCCATTCAAAGAGGTGAAAAAAGTCCAAAAAACTTTCAGTTCAGAATGGGGATAAAAGTATATGGCAAGAATTGTGTAGATTAACATCTCTGGCTTCATAACTTTCTACTTACCTATTTAAAATCTGATTTTATTTTAAATCCTTCGTAGAACATTATAATGTATACATTCCTACCTATTCCTGATTAGCCTATTTTCGTTACATAAACACAATGTCTACAAAGTTTTCCCCTTTAGAAGAAATAAAGTCCTAGGGTGTGGAACTTTTCCTCAGTGTTCCATTTAATTCAACAAAATTCAATGAACATTTATTAAGTTCCTACTATAAGTAAAATACTAGGGATTGAAAGATGATTATGACAAGTTTCCTTATTTCAAGAAATCTACCTTCTTAAGGTAGGGATGGGGAAGGGCATAAAAAATTATAATGCAAATAAGATTTTATGTATTTTAAAAATTTTTTAAATGAGGCTATGAGAGACTAGATATAAACTGGCAGGAGAGTTCTGGGAAGACTTTACAGAGGACGGATATTTGGTGTAGGCCTCAAAATATTTCAACAATGTTGGGACAAAGGAAAATCCAAGTGAGAGAAATAACATGAAGGCATGAATGTATGTACTGTGTACTATGAATACCAGAACTAACCTCCCACTTCTTGGTTAAGATCCCTAAATTTCTGGTATATAGTAAATTAGGACATAAAATAGAAGTTCAAGTGTCAAGAAATTTTATTAAAATAAGATGTCATTCAAACCATGGGAATTACAGAACATAAACAAATAAGGATCAGCAAAAGAAACTTTCACAAAACCTATCTCATGGGACCCTGATGAGAATTAAATGAGATATTAAGTGTAAAATGCCAGAGTGAATATTATGGTTATCTTTTAACAGCCATTCTACCACCCGCCACCACCACTGCAAAATAACCATGCAATCTGGGATACTGACCACAGCTCAGCTCAGTGAGTAGGATCTGATAATTTTGAGCCAATCATGTTAATCCACCCATCTTTTAATTCAGTAATTAATTTATATACCCAGCCTTAAGCCTATCAATGCATAACATTCCCTAATGACAGAAATTTGTTCATAAATGACCAGATGAATCAATTCCAATCAATTAGGCCTAGAGGACTCAGAGGAAACCTTTCTTACTTTCTTACTTCAGAGGCAATAGATGAACATTGACTAATATGAATAGCTAACCATAAGAGTATACACGCTGAATATCAGATATGCTTACTGGTTTCTCTCTTCCTCTTGATACTGTTATATTAATACATTTATGTGACATCTAAAGTTACCATAGACATCTCCTTCCTAGAGACAAGACAATCTCAGAATCACAAGGAAAAATTGGATTAAGACAGACCTTAAACTAAGCCTGTTTAGAATTATGTAACCTATATATATTCCCAATTGCTTTTTTCCCCCCAGTTTCAGTATTATTGACTGTTTCTTTCAGCTAAATGCACCCAACTAATGCTAGGCCTTTAGAATATGTACCACAATATGTGGTACATATAAATATTCAATATACATTAGCTACTGTTATTAATATTATATCAGCTTTTGAAGTATACATCTTTCCATGTCTTCTCCTAATTCTACTCCTTCAAACATAAAGAGCAACCACCAACATCTTTATGGGCAGTGAAAGAGGAAATTTTATCAAAGCCACAGCTTGCTACTGCAACGTTTACTCTTGGTCCTGAGAGGTTTCTAGTAAAATCTTGTCAATGGAATATTAAGATTTGAAAAATTGAGTTGATTTCATTCTCTGTTAGATGTAAGTTTTTATTATTTGAAAATATTCAAGAAATTATAGGACACTATGCAACTGAGATAACAATGAAAACAAATTATTCTGATGTCCCTTTATTTTACTCTGAACGATATTATATTCATATACTGCCACACTGGCAGCACCGCTGGTGTAGTGGTATTATGCAAGATTCCCATATACTACCACACTAATTTTAGCCGTCTGTTTGATGAAATAATATTTTTCCATGTAGACAAGTAGAACTGGACTCCACATCTTCAGGCAGTGCAGACATAGGTGGTTTTTTTCTCATCCAGGAATCTGATTCATGGGAAGAAAGTGTTTTAACTTTTTTACAAGTGGACAAATATTATGTGCTATGATTATACTTGACCCCAACTCCATTACTTCACTGATGGTCTGATAATCCAAGGGTAGATCTTTCTGTATTCTTTGGTAGCAACAATGAATAGCAAGCTAGTGCATTTTTTTAACAGAAATTTCTCATAGAAACTTTGCAAACATTATATCTGCCATTTTTGTGGCAATGCGAACTATCTTTCTGAGAGCAATACATATTGCTATGGTTTCAATGTCCCCTTAAAAAAGAAATCATGTTGAAATTTAATTGCCAATGTAATCATATAGGAAGGT